CGTCATCATGGCACCGGATAAAACCACAACCAGTCTTTGGGGGTGGTGGGGGGAAGGAGGTTAGAGATGAAGAAGATGTTATAGACACAATGGCCAAGAACAAAATGGTGAAAGTAGCGGTCACTGAATAAGGGAGAAAACAACACCAGCTACTGCTATGGCGCTAAGTCTCTAAGGCTATGAGGTTTAATATGGCAGTTAGCGGCACCCCAGTTAAAAGACATTTCTGTTTCTGCTTCTGCCCTGAACGGACTGATATCAGCTACCAAGGTGAAAGAAAGTCAAAATAAACCAATACATAAAACACACATAAAACAATACATAAAACCAATACATAAAACAATACATAAAAACATTATAGGCCACAACCAAAAAGAACACGTGAGCTGCAAGAATCTGCCTAAAAAGAGAGATTTGGAGTCAGTTTAAATTTCCTGAGTGAAGCCTCAGGAATGAAGTTCCTTTGATGTCATATTAAACCCTGGCCCACGGTATCATTCCATCCTTATCCTCCTCTGTCTGCCACAAACACTGAGCTCCAGACAAACCACATAGAAGCCCCCAAACACACCACGGGTCTTTCTTTAATATTCCCCAGAGGGGCCGGGGCCCGGGAAACCATCCTTCCAGGTTCCAGGCCTAGAGATGTCCCCCAAGGAGAAGCCTCCCTGCTGGACAGATTAAAGGCCATCCTTTTCCACAGTGGACCTTGATTCCAAGAGCCATTCCCTTTGAACGAACTCCAGGAGCAGATGCAGATCTCAGAGACAAGTGGGCGCATCCCAAGCTACAGATGTGAGGCCTGGCAACTGAACTGACAACTCAAATAGCATCTCTCGTCGATGAGCCAGGCCAGCTGGTCTGTCCCACTGGCTGGGAGTGTGCCTTACAAACGTGCCTGCCTTTTATTTTCTGATGTGTCACAATTCACCCTTTTCGTTGTTTCAGAACGTTCTGGAGCACAGGAGGCTAATCATCCCTCATGGTGTGACATCTGTTTGAGATGACAGAGGGCTCAGGCCCAGAACCTCCCTACGTCGTCATGAAGGCAGCCCTATAGTCACTGTCGGTCCATCCACTGCCATTTCCTTCTCAGTGGCTCACGAATCAAGAAGAGACGGAAAGGATGTTCTTCAGGCTGGCAATGAAAACACACTCTAAAAGAGAAATAAACTGGACTAAAAGTAGAGTTCAAAATAAATAACCGTCCCTGTTCTGACAAGATGAACGCATGCATCTAATTTGGTCCCACCCCTGATAAAAACGAGCCTTCATTTAGGCTTTCAGGGGCTCAAAAGAAAGGGAAAGGGGCCTCCGCTCCTGCTGCTGGTGCCAATCTGTGTTTTGACGTCAGAACACAATAAACATCGGCTCTGAGGGGACATCTTGGAGTTGAGAACGAAGAGAGGGTGCTCCCACCTTTGGAACTCTTTCACAACAAAATGGCACCCGCTTGAAGAGTTCCTACTCACAACAAGTCTTGTAGAGGAGAAGATGTAAATTCTGACCCCTAGGAGCTGTGTATCTTGTCAACCCAATAACCACACTGAACCTAAAATTCAGAATGAGAAACGAGGGTAATAACTCTTTGTTGAGGGTAGAGCATGCGCTGAAAACTGTACTAAACACTTTCCATACTTGATATCATTTAATTCACCCAATAGGACCCTGAGGTAGGTGGTTTTATTCCATTATATAGAGAATAATACTGAGTCTCCAAAAAATTAAGGACACTGTCCCAAAGCCATACCACTTGTGAGCAGCAGAACCAAAGTCACATCTGGTTTTGTTTGACTCCAAATCCTGTGCTCTTAGCTACGGGCATCTTTAATTAAGATCAGAACTCATCTGGGTAGACATGCTTGTGGCTCAGGGGTAGAGATCGGGGACCAAATGTTGACTAAGGCTGGGGACAAAGGAAGTTTCAGGTTTGGGGCATGCTGCCAGGTAGGTAGGTTTGATCGACACCCAGAGCTAGGTCCTTCCCACGGCAATTCCAGGCCAGGGGGGAACAGGTACAAGGAAGGAGGTCACCAGAGATCTCCCCCAAATAATAAAAATGTAGGGAACCTCGAGAGCAATGCTGTTAACCCCTGGGGGTAATTTCAGTCCACAACTTCTCTTTTTCAGCCTAAAGAAGCCAGACTCAAAAGGCTACATATTATATGATTCCAGAGAGAGAAAAGAGATCAGTGGTTGGCAGGCACCAGGAGATGAGGGTGGGGTCTGACTCCGAAAGGGCACAAGAACACTTTTGGGAGGTGATGGAAATGTTATGCATCCTAATTGTGGTAGCCTTTATACAACTGGCATTTAACTGCACACTTAAAGTTGGCAGATTTGGGACACCTGGGTGGCTCAGTCGGTTAAGTGTCTGACTCTTGATTCCAGCTCAGGTCATGATTTCATGGTTCGTCAGTTTGAGCCCCATGTGGGGCTCTGTGCTGACAGTGTGGAATCTGCTTGGGATTCTCTCTCTCTCTCTCTCTCTCTCTCTCTCTCTCCCTCTCTCTCTGTTCCACCCCGACTTGTGCTCTCTCTCTCTCTCTCAAAATAAATAAATAAACTTAAAAAAAATTGATATATTTTACCTCATGTAAATTACATCTCAATAAAGCTGATTTAAAATATATACATCCAATTCCTGCCACCACCACCACCCCCCCCCCAAAGGGCACTAGCTGATGAATCCTGAGCTAAAGTTTCCACTGTGCAACTGCATCGCAATAAACTCCAGCATCTCAAACCTTCAATTAGTTGTTCAGCCTTCCCAGTAGGGAAATTTCCAGCAGGCAGCCCCTGCATACACTCCTGATACACCACATCCAGTGGAAGAAGGTTCTGAAGGGAAATGTCAGGTAAATGCTTCTGTAGCCATTTAAATAAGAAGCTGATTGCTAGGGTTACTTTGGCTTCCTGCCTTCTTTTCCAGATCTTCAGAGATCATACTATGAATGTGGTAGAACATTCATCTGGAAAATTGCCCACTGGCCAGATTAAGGTAGCATCACTGTTTTTTAACTTATATCTCACATGACATACTGGTCTTTATCTTCACATCTTGTTGCATTTTGAAGGCCATACCTGTCTCTATGCTCAGCCTGAAAAATACAGAATAACACTGCTAAAAATACTAAATATTATAGCTACCACCTGCCTAAAAAAAAAAAAAAGTATGGCATGTATTAAAAATGAGCATTTCAGTAGGGCTAACTACACTAGCCAGGTCTATCTTCCCTTCCAGCTCTAGGTCACCTGTCCCCCTATACATTGTCTTTGGTAAAGGTATTTCTCTCTCCAATATGGCCACTTAGTCTCTTTGCTTTCTGGCCAAGACCTTCTGTTTAGGGAAGATCTAGAGGCTTCTGACCCATTTTAACAGCTCGGTTGGAAAAGGAACATAAGCCACACAAATATAGTCTAACGTTGGAAATAATCAGATCAGTCATGCAAATTAATAAGTACATAAGGTCATATCCCAAAAGAAAAGAGGGCAGTCTCCTGCAACAAAAGCTGCCAGAAATAATGGATTTTAAAGGGAAATGAAAACTAAAGAGCCAGCCCTGACTTTGGACTCTTTCTAAAAGTCTTGATGTTATCTGCTGCTAGGTATATGATTTCCTGGGCATCAGTGTTTGGGAGGTAGCCACACTGTTCCTCACAGCAAGGTGGAGACCATCCTATTAAGAGGCTTTTTATAATAAAAATAAAAGAGTTAAAAAAAAACCAAAAGACAACATTTATATCAAAACACACTTTAATCATTTATTAAAAGGGGATGGTTATAGCATTTAAAGAGCCAGTCCTATAGACTGGGACTCATGAACATCAAGGGGAAACAGACCAAGACCAGAAGAGAAAGCCATCCAAAAGCACAGAAGCACACACACCTGCTAGGTTTTCAAACTGCACTGACTTACTAGATATTTTCAATGTTTTTTTTAAAAATATGTCTTCCTCAAATAAAAAAAATTTATTTTCTTACAACTTTTAGGCTTAAACAAAGACAACACTTGCATGAAACAATTGATATGACTTAATACAAATGTCACATATGCTCCAAGGGCTTTGTCATGTAACCAGATATGCTATTATTTTATCACTGCCATCTGTTCTTACGGTCCTAGAGTCATGTAGGTGTAATTTCATGATGAGACAAAAAAAATGTATTTGTTTTTCTTCTACCCATTCCATAAAAAAACTGGTTAATTTTCATAAAAAGCAGGAGGTAGGAAATGGGTGGAGGGAACTGGTTGGTAAGTCTGGTTCTAGTCTTCTGCGTGCCTTTGGAATGGAGTTATGAGGTAGGAGGGTTCTACTGACTCTTCTAGAGGTGGACAAAAGGGATAAAAGAAAAATCAAATCCCCCACCTGCAGGTCCATCTGGGACTGATTTACAGTGTACAATTTAGTGCATAAAAGAGCCTCTCTCTAGAAAACTCTGAGCATCTCACAGATATAATACAAGCATGCTAAGTTTACTAATCTGCTACATATAAAACACTGTCCAGATGCTAGTAAGAAAAACCAAAGATGGAGACTTGATCCCTCAAGGAGTTTCAAGTATTAATCTGCCTAATTGAGATCAGGTTTCTTTCAGGCATGGATGAATTAACCTGGCTACATGGAGGAGAGCTGGTCATTGACACGCATTCTTACGAAGAATCCCCAAAAGCCATAGGTTCTAAGTTCCTTGATTTCCAGAGCTGTCTCACTGACACCTTCCTTGAACCTATAATGTCCCTAGACCCCCACAATCCCATCTACCCTGCAAGGACCTTATTTTCACTAGGGAAATGCATTCTCTGGAGGCAGACAGCTTCCAAAAGAACTTACCAAATCAGGGCAAATATCCTAAGTCTTCAGTGCGATAGAACTATGCTCCCAAGTATCACTACTAAGCAAACTCACTTCCAAATCCCCCCCGCGGATAGCTAAATAAGTGAAAAAGACCATTTTTTTTCAAGGAACCTTTCATTTCTCTCTCATCCTTCCACAACTTACTTGGGTTCCTTGTTAAAGATCAGATCATAATTGAGAAGGTAACCATCATTATAGACGAAAAGTTTCTGGTCAAAAGGGTGGTAGTTAATGCTCTGAACTCTCTCCCGCATCTTAGGCATTACAACGTCTAGACTGCCCTCTCTCCCTGTGTTTGTGTCATAGTAGTAGAATATCTCTTCCTCTCTGGTGTTCAGAGTGCGGGTGGCATACAGAACCCCGCACACCATGAAGGCGTTAGAAACCGATGGTTTATACTGTCTCGTATACCAAGTGTCTAGCACCGTGAGTGTGGTGTCATTGAGTTTGCTAATCACCATGTTACCAGTGCTGGCTTCGGTTGCATAAATCACCCACAACCCATTCTCATCCACAGCCAAGTCAATATCTTGCCAATCGACATTAGCATACGAAAAGCGGTTATTATAGGCGGCATCAGGGACAGTTTGAGTCACTTCAACCCTGTTGTCATTCAGGTTAATTTTGGCAATATTCTGGCTGGAATACATGTTGACATACATGTAGTTGTTATAAACCGCTGTACCACTGCCTTGGCCATAGGTAATCCGATATTCTCGGGCATTTATATACAATAGCAAATCATCCAGGGTATTGTAGAGTCTGTAATATTCCAGATGTCTCCCATCTGTATTCAGAGGTGCCACCCAATACAGCCCTCCATTTGGTTGCTGGGGAGAGTAATCCCGACCCCAGGCACCATACTTAAAGGAAAACCCTCTCCAGTTGAGCTGAACGATGGTCGGCTTGCTGATATTCACTACACCACCATGGCCACAGCTCCCTGTACAAACAAGAACATACAAGGGCATTCTTAGAGAAAAATGAATGACGAGATACAAATGGTTTAATGTCCTAAGAACCAAGGAACCCATAAATACTTTTCTTGTCAAGGTTTGGCGACGACCGTGGTTCTGATGGGGAAAGATCAAGACCTTCTTTTGGTGTCAGTCTCAATGCAAGCCTCCTGTCAGCTCTAGAGAAAACCACCTCCTATTTCCATTAATGGGCTTTCATTCCAGAGATGGGGATGCTAGAACTGCCAAGAGCCATATTAAAAAGGTTTGAAGGCCTAGAAAGAGGAAAGGAGGACTTGGTGGGTTTGACAGACTTTCTTCTACCAGAAGGCATTTTGCAATCTTTTTTTTTTTTTTAATTTTTTTTTAGCGTTTATTTATTTTTGAGACAGAGAGAGACAGAGCATGAACGGGAGAGGGTCAGAGAGAGAGGGAGACACAGAATCGGAAGCAGGCTCCAGGCTCTGAGCTGTCAGCACAGAGCCCGACGCGGGGCTCGAACTCACGGACCGCGAGATCATGACCTGAGCCGAAGTCGGACGCTTAACCGACTGAGCCACCCAGGCGCCCCAGCAATCTTTTTTTTTTTTTTAATTTCATTTTTCTTCTAGAGAAATCAAAAAGAGCAAGGTCATCTCAGATCCTACCCTTTTTCCATAAAGCCACAAGGTACTATTTGCCAGGATCAGGGACAACTGTGACGAAGGAGAAGACTGCCCTGGACAAGTGTCCATGCCCTTCACCTTTCTGCCCCTCCCTGGAACCCCAAGTGCATATATGCACACCAGGTACCATTGTCGCCCCAAGCCAATCTCAGAAGACGAAGTTTTAAATATGGTATTTTAAAGATACAAAAAGATAGTCCTCTAATGGTGGGATTTCCGCCTTGAGAAGCCATGGAAGTGATTTTAGGGCAATAGGGCCTGATGTGTGCCCAAAGCATAAGCCTATTGCGTAGATCACTTGGTAACCACCTTGCTGCAGTTGTAAAGTAGGTCTTGCTGTTTATACCACATATTCTACTGAGTCATAGAATGACAGCAAGTCCTTCACCTTTCTCAATCTGACACTGTCATCACAATGTGTACAATCAAGTGGGACCAGGCTCACCAGTCCACTGACTCTACCTTCCCTGTACCAGCAGTGAACAACCCAGGCTGGACAACTGGCCCTACACGTCACACTCTGAAATGCCTGCCAACCCAAATCATTTATGAGCTACAAAAATAACATAAAACTCCTCCAGGGTCTTTATAATAACTATCCAGAGTTGAACACACATTTTGAGGGATCTTAGTAAATATCTCTTTAAAAGTGGGTAACATTGTTTATTGGATGACAAAGAAAATTCCACTTCAAGTACATTTGAGGTCATTTTCCCTCATCCTACTGCCTGGAGCTGAGCAGGTGAGGGAAGAAGGAACAGAACCTGAATCACTTGCTCTGGCTTTGAATGCTTGGAGGGAATCAGGGAGCCGTGGAGAGCACATGATGTGAGCTACAGCCAAAAGCAGAGCTCCAAAGAATTACCTGATTTATCGGGGGGGTGGGGTGGGGGGGGGTAGGACATTGGTTAAGGGAGAGCAAAGCTTTGCCTGTAAGTCTGTGCCTCTGACCGACATGGAAAGACATATTCCTTTCCTTGCTAAATGTCCCCCCCCCTTCTTCCCCTCCTCACTCAAGGACTGCTCAGAGGTGAAACCATTACTAGAAATCCTGCTTTTATTCTTCCAATCTGCTGGGGCTTTTTGGTCCCAGAATTAAATACGTGCTCTTTAAATGCTCTCATAAATCCGCAGTTGGTGGGAAAGCCAGCCAACCATACAACAGGTAGAGAAATGAGACCATTCTGTACCCAACCTCAAATAATTTTGCATATCATTAAGCAGAACACAGGCGCTGGTTTATTTTAATAATGCATGCACCATTTCATAAATAAAAAAGCAACGTGTGTTCAGCCAAGAGACTGTTCTCCACCAAAGAAATAATAAATAAAATTATAAATTATTATTTCTTCTCCTAAAAGTGATCTCTCAGATGAATGCTTGTTTGCTTTTGTTTATGAAACAATGCATGAATTATTAAAATAAAGTTAATGGTGTGTTCAGTTTAATGATAACAAAAACTGTTTGAATTTCCATATGCTACAAACCAGATTTGCTAGTTAAAATACCTTCCCGAGAACTTACTTATTTAACTACATTTCACTCTAAGGAAATGTAAGAAAGTCACGTTTTTCTTGCAGGTTGGAAGACTTAGGAATTGTTTGTTTAATCGAATCTTGCTTTCCTGGAAAGAAAATATCCCGAACCAACAGTAACAAGATACGTAAGGAAAACTTACGATGTATAATCTTATTCAAGCATTATCACGGGGTTAAAGATAATAAACTGTTCTGTCTTGGATGTGGAAATCCTTAGATATAAAGGAATCCAAATAAACTTCTCTTCAAAATTACTACTTCTACTACGACTACTAATGATAATGGCTTATCATTTTACAAGTCGACCAGGAAATTAAACATTGTACCTGGTATAAATACCAGTACTGTATGAAGCCTACATCTCTTTTTCTCACTTCCCAGCCATTCCTAAACACTCTCCTACCCTTTTTTGTTACCCCTCTCTCATCCTCAATGTCCTTTGGGCCATTTGGGGGGCCCTGGCTGTGGTCGAAGGAAGCAGAAACAGGGAGGAGAACTGGGCACTGTTGCCAATACTACAGATGTGGCTACAGCAGTGACAGGCCAGAGAAAAGGCTATGGCGGGCTTCCTCAACTCCCGGCAGCAAACTGGCCTGGAAACGATACTGAAACTGACAGCCATCCTGGTGCCCGCTGCTCCTTTTTGCCCAGCCGGAGCCTCCACCCCTCCTCCCCCCAATCTGTGCCAAGCTTCCCCCAACCCCCCCTTACCTCATCTCATATCCCTTCCCTGCCCCTTCCTTCATTTCAAGGTCTTAGCCTTCTCGGCCGTCCCAAGCTTCCACCCCTGGCACAACCACCCATTGCCCAACCATAATCCAAGAATGTGAAAGACCAATGCATCGCTTCATGTCTTCCTAGTGGACAAGAACACGCCGCAAAACTAAAAGTACACTTTTAGCTATTCTACAGGCAAGGAAGTAAAGATACATCGATGTTAATCAGGCTGGTGAGTGGTTGAAACGTTCTTGTTACTGTGGGAATCACAGGTGCACCTCTCTATCAGAGCATCTATGGAAGGCAGCCTGGTACAGGTGAAGCTATTGGCAGACAGATTCCAGTTCAAATCCTGACTCCGGTACTTACTGGCTGTGTAAGCTTCTGAGCTTCAGTTTCCTTGTATTAAAAAATAATAATAATAAAACCCACTCTGTAGAACTGTTAAGAAGAGAGAGAAGGTATGTACATGCAACTCAACAAATGGTAACTATCAGCATTATAATCACATCACGTTATATATAGCTGAAAGTTCACACGACTGTATCCCTTCCTACATAGTGGTTTCTGGAGGTTCCTGTATCCATCCTGGGAACCCTAGCTCCCAGAACAGGACCAGCCATGCAGTGGCACCAAATTATGTTCGTGGAATAAAAGAATGAAAGACTGATCAAAGCCCCCAAACCCAGCTTACCTTATTAATAAAACAACTAGCACTCTACCCTGCTATATATGTTTTACAAAAAGCCTGGTATTCACTCAGCAGAACATAAAGCAAGGGAACTCTCCACACAACTGTCGCCTTGGTTGGCAATCTCATCATGCAATTCATTAGATCTTGTCATGGTGTTCTGAAAATACCCCAGGAAGCCACATGATAAGACTTTAACACACACTAACTTGGCTTTTTTATCTTTTAAAGAATTTTTAAATGCTTTTTATTTATTTTGAGAGAGAGAAAGAGAAAGAGCATGAGTGAGGCAGGGACAGAGAGAGAGAGAGAGAGAGAGAGAAAGAGAATCCTAGGCAGGCTCTGCACTATCAGCACAGAGCCTGATTCTGGGCTTTATCTCATAAACCATGCGATCATGACCTGAGCCAAAATCAAGAGTCAGACGCTTAACTGAATGAGCCACCCAGGCACTCCCTAAGTTGGCTTTTTTAAAGTCTCATGCTTAGTAGCATTTTTCTTAAGTCAATGACTATCTGCAGGGGAAACTTAATCTTGGATCTATCAGTGCAGTCTCCTACCTAGACAACTGCACTTTGAGCAAAGAGGAGAGTACAATTCACCTGTGGGAATTAGGCAGTTAACCTGATCATAATCACAAAATGATGAAGACTAAATTATTGGATACATACTCCCCAACACTCTGCTTTTCCTAAGACTTGGGATTTTGGCAGGTCACTATCTTTCATCAGCCATTTACTGAGCACCTACTGTGTGTCAGCACAGAACCTGACATCATCTCCAAGCACAACCGCAGTCGACCCCTGGGCGTGTACATACATTTTGCCTATCTCCAGTCATCTAGATTCAGAGGGAGATCAGAGAGAGAGAGAGAGAGAGAGAGAGAGAGTCAGTTGTTCTCAGGAAAAAAAGTTAATGAGCAGAAGGGCAATTATTTTAGATTAGAAGGTTCTATGAAATGAAGCAGAAAAGGATACCATTTGCGGCATAAACCAAATACAAAGCGCATTTTATTGAACCCTCACTACATGTACTGGTTCTAAGATCAAGCTGACCACAGACAGCAACCTGCAACTGGGAGAGAGGAGCCCCGAGAACACGGAATTCCTTTATAGCTGAGACTTGCGTGCAGCCTTTTGTTCTGTGCAACTCTGCAGTGAAAAAAGCAGACAGGCCAGATTTTAAAGTCCCATAATAGTGAGTAACTTTAATTAAAGTCTCCACAGGCTGACAACTTTGTGGTGCCTGGGGAGTTTCCAATTCTGCATTATCAACCAATCCAAACAGAAAGAGAGCAAGTAAAAGAAATTGATTTAAAAACATGACAAAAAGTCAGTTTAATATAAACATCATAAATATAATATGAACAAAGCTGGAGGAGGGCCAAGTGGCTTGGCGGGGATCCAGGTACAGCCAAGGTTGTGGGAAAGTGAGAGGAAATCTGGGTCCAATTTGCTTAAACAACACAGCTGGGCTGGGATGACTCACAAAAGTCTAAGTGTGAGGACCTAGGGGAAAGTTCTCGAAAAAAAAATTCTAACAAAAATAATCCAGCAGGCTCGCTTGTTTTCCTCTGTAGATATACTAAGAAGTGCACTTTCTCTTCCACTGCCGTTCTTGGGTTATTGCCATTGACGCTCTAGGTCCTGAGATACCCAGGGAGTGAGGGGCCTTGCATTTCGGCCTCAGCCCTGCCACTAACCACCCGTGTGGCCTCAGGAAAAGCAGCACCCTCACCACCTAAGTTCCCTCCTCTGAGACATGATGGACCTGAGCTAGATGGCCCTAAATGTCCCTTCCAGTTCTAAAATGTCCTCACTCCAAAGAAGGAAGGAAGGAAGGAAGGAAGGAAGGAAGGAAGGAAGGAAGGAAGGAAGGAAGGAAAGAAGGAAGGAAAGAATAGAGGGAGGAAGAGAGAAAGGAGGGAGGGAGGGAGAAAGAAAGAAAACCTTGTTCACGTGTTATCAGGGCTTGTCATTGCTTTGACCCTGTCCTCAAGGAGCCCTGCGTGGCCCAGCAGAAAGAGCTCACATTTTCAATGCACACTGACACCACTGATCCCAGACTAAATTTAACCTCAGTGTGTTCCAGAGGACAAGGTATGGCCTTTGTCCTGAACTTCCTCTGTATGTCATACTATGACAGGTTGCCAACAGCAGAGGGAGGGAAGAGAGTCTCCTGAACACCACTGAGAGGCTTATAACTATGGCAGTATCGAATTAAAGCCTTAAAGAAGCCAGTTACATTGACAAGGATCCAGAAACACACAGCCTAAGAGGAAACAGTCTGTGGAAACAGAAATTAATGAAAGTAACAAGAGCTGTATGATTTGATGAGAAGGTACAGGCCCTTTTCAGGCTGAGATGCTTATGACCCACAGGGAGGGCTTCCCTGTGACAGGGCTGCACAGGGCGACAGAGCAGGGCTTTAGTTCACCTGGAGGGACGTGCTGAAGCACACAAGGACCGCTTTCGTTCACAGCCAGGTTTTCACTTCAATTATCATCGTTAATAATAATAACAAATTCCAGCATATAAGTGTCAATCATAGAGCGCCGTGCTTCCCAAGACTTGTTTCATTAACCCGCTCACAGGTAAGTAGTATTCTCCCGTTTTATCGAGGGGGAGATTAAGGATCTTTTGCTGTGGCCACATAGCTGGGAAGCTCAGGTCTTTGGCGTCCCAAAACCATACTCCTGACCTCTACACTCCACTGCCTCATTCATGGAGGTATTATGAAGCACCCACCTCTATGCTATACCTAGCCCCAAGGATTATTTAGAGAGTATGAGGCCATCCCTGCCCTCCAGGAACTCACACTCTAGGTAGGATGGCAGGCCACACCCACAAGTACTGTACAGGTGGACCATTAAATCCTCCCTGAATCCTCGGACACGTGAAAAAACAGCAGGTGCATTTCAGGAAAGCGTAAAGGAAAAATACAGGTGTGGAAGCAGGGATGGAAAGAAAGCAAGAGAAAAGGAAGAGTCAAGGCATAACCCAGCTCTTCGGATACATGAGCCAATCGGCCCTTGCCATCCGCGGGACAGCACCGACGCCTTGCAGATTCCAGAGGCTTTCACCAGAACCGCCCCCCCCCCCCCCCCCCCCCCCCCCCCCCCCCCCCCCCCCCCCCCGTCCACTACCCTCCCCCCTCGCCCCCCACAACAACTCCATCATCACAGAGCTGTTTTCCTTGTTAGCAAATGCAAAGGGGACACGTGTAATGTGTGAGTTTTGCTTTAAATCCACTCACTGTTGGTGGTTCTCCTCGATGAGCCCCAGAACTTGCCAGCATGTGGAGCTACTAGGAGAGAGATCTCGGAGCTCAGGAGAGTAAACTCAGCCCTGCAAAAATCCCATCCCCACTTCAACTCTGCAATCCCAAATCCCTTCCCCGCCCCACTCTCAGCCCTTAACCGGGCTGGCTCAGGTGGTCACAACATGGCAGGCTTACCAGGGGCAGGAGGCGGTGCGGAGACAGTAACATTTTCACCTTTAGAGGCTTCACATTCCTTCAGCCTGTTCTTCAGAGCCAGGATTTCCCGGCGAATGGCAAGGACGTTGTTTTTGTCTAGCGTCTCGAGCTGCTCTACCAGGAGACTCATATTCCTTATCTAAGGAAATAAAAATGCAGAGTGACTTTATATTATTGTGCAATTTCTTTCATAAACATTCCAGGGCTGAATTTGTCACTTAGTGAAACATTGCTAGAGAGTACACCCGAGATTCTTCGGAATGGTTTCATTTGGAAGAATACATTTTATGGTTTAGCGTGAACGCCTGTCAGATCTCAGGCAGATGTGTGTGACAAGAAGAAAATGGCAAAGATTTTAACAGATTTAATAATAGAGCACAGGCTCAGTCTAAGCCTCCACAAAGGTCCATTAAAGTTCATTTCTAATAACCTTCCCCTATAAACTCGTGTTTACTCATGTTGTATTATAATTAAGTTTCTAACGAATGGCGAGGGCCAGAGAAAACTTATCTGAGATGTGTAACTAGACTTCTCCATTACAGCCCACTTCATGTCCATGCTAGTAAATTCTCGTTGAGATAAATTACCCAACCATAACATTAATGTGATGGTCTTTATCCATAGAGCTTAAAAGGCTTCACTAAAACATAATTGCATGAAATTCCTTTAAAGAGGGTTGCCAGTATGTGGAGAAGTGTTCCAAGAGGAATCAAGGATCACATGATCATTCAAAAGGAGAAACAGACCTAGCAATTCCAAAATCCGGTAAATTGTGGCTTTCTAGTCCCACAAGAATAAATCCAGAACAGAGAAGGCACTCAATCTAACTTGGCCATGGAGTTGTTCAGATTTATATCATCACCTTTCTAGAGACATTGAAAGGCCACCTGGGTCTGGGGCAGGCCCACTGGATGACACCTGCTCCTCAATGAACGCATTCCCATTGTGTTCCACTCACTATTCAGACACCCCCCCCCCAAAAGCAGAACACAGGACATGCCAGGTGGTCATGAGAGAGTGCAGAATTAGAAGTCAGAAGAGAGATCCATAGCCTGGTCCCAACACCTGCCCACTTCTTAATTTATTATTAAGCCTCTCAGAAGTGAGCTCATGACTTACCTCCACTTCCAGCTGGTCAACAATAGTCGTGCTTCCAACAAAATTGTCCTTCAGCTGTATGATCAGTTTCTCCATCTCCTTCACTTCTATCTTGATCAGCTCAAAGTCCAGTTCAGTATAAGAAATGGTGTCCTTTTCCATGATCTCTACTCGGACAGTTAGGTTTGAAAGCTTCTTTTCATACACACTGATTAATTGGACATACTCCCTTACCTGAAAGGGAATCAAAAAGCTTAAGTCAATTCCCAAAGTAATACTATACAGTCTTCCTCCACTACCAAGACTTTGGGGACTATTTGCTTGTTGTCAATCTTTTTTTTTTCTTTCTTTCTTTCTTTCTTTCTTTCTTTCTTTCTTTCTTTTTTGGTAAAGAAATGGATCAAAAATATCAGGGTGCCTGGGTGGCTCAGTTGATTAAACGTCTCACTCTTGAGTTCAGCTCGGGTCTTGATCTCACTGTCCTGAGTTCAAGCCCCGTGCTGGGCTCCATGCTGGGTGTGAAGCCTACTTAAAAAAAAAAAAAAAGAAAGAAAGAAAAGAGGGGCGCCTGGGTGGCTCAGTCGGTTAAGTGTCCGACTTCAGCCCAGGTCATGATCTTGCGGTCTGTGAGTTCAAGCCCCACGTCAGGCTCTGTGCTGACAGCTCAGAGCCTGGAGCCTGCTTCTGATTCTGTGCCTCCCTCTCTTTCTGCCCCTCCCCTACTCATGCTCTGTCTCTCTCTGTCTCAGAAATAAATAAACATTAAAAAAAATTTAAAAAAAGAAAAGAAAGGGATCAAAAATATATTTAACTAGTGCTCGCTTCCACAGCACACATACTAAAAATTTAACTAATTTTTCTTTAATCTATCTAAATGCAAACGAAAAAAAAAAAACATTATTACAATTGGTGGGGTGGATTTTGCACTTGCCTAGACTAAAAATAATTTTACTTCAGAGTCATCATTCACAAGTATATTTTAATTTCCATTTTAATGTTTGAAGATATTAGGTCTCCAAAATGAACTGGTTTGAACCAGACTCCCTTGCCCTCCCTCCTCCCCTCAATGCACATACTGGATCTAAACCAGGGTTTCCCAACCTCAGCACTATTGATATTTTAGGCTAGATCATTCTTTCTTGTTGGGGGAGGGGGCTTTCTTGTGTATTATAGGATGTGTACCAGGATTTCTGGCCTCTAGACACCGATAACAGCCACAGACCATTCAGCTGTGACAACCAAAAATGTCCCAGCCATTGCTAATGTTCCCTGGGGGCAAAATCACCATCACCACCACCCTCCCTCCATTTAGAAACACTGCTCTAAATCTAAGTATTTTCTAGAAGAGAGAGAAGTGCACTGAGTAGAATTCCTTCTCTGGTGGCCATATGCATTGAGTCTTGAACCCCTCTACCTTTTACAAAGTGCCATAAAGACCCAACTTTACTACACAATATGTGAGTGTGTATGTGACTATAAAGTGCACATTTCATTAAGTGCACCCACATTTATTCCAAGAACTGATTATTGCAATCAGACCTTTACGCATTTGTTGCATATATTTGAATGTCTGATCATTAAGTTAAAATACTTCCAAAAATTCCCTTGGTGGTTTAGTGTATAATTGGAAACTCCAAATGGGTATTTCAATAAACACATTTGGTGGTTCTTTTTGTATCTGATCTCTGAAAGAAATGCCATGGCCTTTTAAAGGACCTGCTCATTAAAAGTTGCTGGCTTTACACTCTTTCTAAAAATTTGAACATAAGTGATACTTTTCCCCAAACTGTGCTAATGTCAAGGAGCTGATCCACGGTGCCTGGATGAATTCAGAGCCAGATGTTGGCCTGTAATCCTCCCAATACCAAAAGCAGTCTTAACTTCTGTCATTTTCGTCCTTCCACTTAACCCCACTGTGCAAATTAGAGCAGACTCATAGGCCACAGACCTAAAGGGCTAGGGCTCCAGGCAAAGAGGATTTTAATGAAAGTTGAAAATGCAGCCCTCGGCACTGCTGGTGTATCTCCTCGGGCAACTGATGCTCACTGCCATCAGATGCGCCATCGTCAGAGGCTGTCAAGGCTGGTGACATTTTGGTGGTTAAGGAAGTTGGAAAAAAACAGAAAACCTAACGAGTCTCCCTCAAAAGTGTAAACACAAATATAAGGTAGCCAGGTTTTAATTTCTGCAAAAATCAAGCATAAAAACTTGCCTGTAAAAAGAATAATAATAATAATAATAATAATAATAAAGTACCAATCCATCACAGAAATGGAAGTTTGCAAAATGAATATTCTTGTTGGCATTTGGTCTTGCCAGCTCTTGGAACAAATGAAACACCCTCTGTTTTCCTGGAACATGTTGGTGGCACATCGCAGCTGTTGTTCTACAAAAATGAGTGATCCAACTGTCATCCCTGCTAAATAAAATGTGGCTCTCCCAGATTCTCACTGAAAACCAAGGCATAACCTGGAGTTTGCTACCTATGAGGATGTGTGGCATGCCTGCCCTCGTTCAGCCACAAAATGAAGAGTCCCTAAAGATCTGTTTCGGGAAAAAACTCGAGGTTCTTTTCAGCTGACATTTAAAGGAAAGCTCGATGACTTTCAGGAAAACTAGAATCGTCTATAGAGTTACTAGAAGGCAGGAGGGAATTTGAGGACTCTACTGACTTAAGTAGATTGCTCATGTAAACCCTTTACATGCACAGATCTCTAGTGTTGAGCTGGTGTGGGCAATTCCCAGAACATCTAGCTCTCCCTGGAAGTGCAAAGTCAGAAGCCACAGTGCAACTTGCACCAGAGATGTAGAGCAAGAATACGGGTCTAGCCACAGGGGGCCCGAGTCGCTCAGTCGGTTGAGCGTCCCATTCTTGATTTTGGCTCAGGCCGTGATCTATTGGTTCGTGAGTTTGAGCCCCATGTTGGGCTCCACACTGAGTATGGAGCCTGCTTGGAATTCTCTCTCTCTCTCTCTCTCTCTCTCTCTCTCTCTCTCTCTCTCTGCTTTCTTTCCCTCTCTCTCTCTCTCTTTCCCTCTGCCCCTCTCCCCAGCTCTCTCTCTCTCTAATAAAAATAAAAATAAAATAATAAGGGTCTAGCCCTAAAAGGACACCCCCTGTGCCAACATCTTTATTACGAGCTCCTCATCACTAGCAGTTTGAGCTTTAAAAGACTCATCTATGCTTGCCTTCAAATCACCAATCTAACAGAGCTTCCATTTTGTTTCTTATATACATATTATATCACAGATGGGCTCTAATAATCAACATTTGTTTGGGGGGGTTGTTTTGGGGTGTTCATTGTTGTTCTGCATGGTAGACATGGTTTCATAATAGATAAGGATGCAGCACAGCTGGCTATTAAGCTAAGGAATCAGTCTGGCTCATGTTCCTGCCTCAAAACCTCTGATCATAATTATGGCCGGATTATCAGAAACAGATAAATGTACTTTGCAACATACTGTTATTTTAATATGTCTTTAACAACAAGAGGAGTTGAGCTTGAATTGACCATGAAGACATGAGAAATGCTTTGGAGCTAGGTCCACCTAAACTCAAAGCTGACTTCAGTACTTAGTAGGCAAATCACTTAATTTCTCTAAGCCTTAGTTGCTCCTATAAACTGGGGGTAATGGTAGCAAGCTTACCAGGTTTCTGCAAGGACTAGGGAAAATGCATACTAAGTGCTTCACTTACTGGATGTCTACAAGTTACAGCAATTATTAGAGAAACAGTGCTTTCAGGGGTTTTTTCTTCAATTTCACTTTTTAATTTATTCTCTTTCAGTGCACGACACATTGTTCCGTCAATGTTCTTTGTTTATAAGTTGCCTAAATGTCTCCCAGACTACCTTGACCTTCTCATGCATGAGGATCCATCGGCAAACGTGTGTTCTATGAAATAACTCACCCCAAACGCCACAGCCCTCTGGACAAAGAAAACCCTGAGCTGTCTTTTTGTCGTCCCCTCCTGAGTATAGTCACAAGAAGACATACCATAAACAACAGAAAAGTATAAAATGCTTTCAGCAGCTCATGCAGAGGCAGCTCCCTGTCTTTCCTGTGTACTGACAGATAATGAATCAACGTAAGGCAGTCAAAACCCTCTTCTGCGGGCCTGTCCAATCGGGCGTTCCCTCCAGGCCTCCAGATGAATGGTGATTTCCAAGGCAACTTAGGGACGGCTATAATAATTCACCTGAAAACTCAAAAGCCCTCAGTGGAAGAGATAACTCTGGATTGAAGGCATTACTATCCTCCTACATCTCTTCTTTGAGGTTGATAACAGCATGGCAGAGAGAAAAGGGACTGGGATGATGTCGGAGACCCAAATTCCTGACTTGGCTCACTCAGCCAAGAGAGGAATGACCTCCACATTTATGGCTCTTGACCTTTATGGACCCCCATGTTTCCCTCCCTAACATGGGAAGAGCGCTGGCCTATCGGCCTTAAAGAGCTGCTTGAGAGGAGAACAGGACTGAAAGCATTTTAAAAAGCAGAAACAAGGGTGCCTGTGTGGCTTAGTCATTAAGCCTCTGACTTTGGCTCAGGTCATGATCTCACAGTTTGTGAGTTCGAGCCCCACTTCTCTCTCTCTCTCTCTCTCTCTCCCACCCCCCTCGCTCACTTGCATGCTCTCTCTCTCTAAATAAATAAATAAAATTTATTGAAACAGAAAAGGAAGCTGTTATTATTGTTGTTATTATCGATGTCGCACAGAATTTCTGATGCAAATCTCAGCCGGCAGGTCAATACCTGTCTCAGGCCTCAATCACAGATTTCTTTAGGACCAGCTACTGACGTTTGGGGAACTAAAAGTTTTCCCACCTACTCCTCCCTTCCTCCCTGCCAACTATTAGCAAGGCAGATGCCATCTGCCCCCTCACAGGATCGGAATTAAACGTCCCGTACTCTCAGCCCTGGCGAGCTGCACACCTCCTCTGGATCAGTGTGGGGTTTCAAACTGCCCTTCACACTCCTGCCAGCAAAGAAGACATGCAAATCAGTAGCTTCCACTATTTCAAAGCAAATGACTCTAACTGAAAAGATCTTTACTTAGGATTTTCCTCCACTTGTTATGTTTTTATGCATAACTTCTTATCTGTACTTGATTATGCTGGAATAAGGCTATGAATATTAATGGTTGGAATTTATAATTTAGTGCCGTGCCTTTTCTGCTGATTAATTCAAGGACATTTTATTTCTTAAGAAGCTAGGTTCCTAGAGTAGTCAAACACATTTTCCTGGACATCCACTGAAACGTAGAATATTTATCTACCAATTCGGGAAAAAAGCAGGGTCTCAGCCTCATCATCATTTTTGTCTTAAAGGATAACTGTGCTGGATGGTGAGGCAGCTAAGTTTAAATTTCTCAGGAAAACTTATTTTGAATCCTGCAGTAAAGCCAGAGCTCCTTGTAAATTAATGGCGTTGTATTGAATAATGCATAATGTGATTATAGCCTAGCTTGGACTTCACCTGTGCAGAAAATGGGAGCCTTTCTAATTGATTTTTAACTTGGCCAAAAAATGAAGAAGGGGTCAACACTGGAATGCCAGGTCACATTGCCCCACCGGCTCAGAGAAAGGTACACCCGGTGGGATAACTTCCTCTGGCTAGAAAAAAAGCTCTAATCAGGGGGTTGGAGTCAGGATTTTTACCAAGGCTGTGTGACCTACTAGAATTGATTCAAATTCTTCAGGTTTGGTCTAATGTGGGACAGGCCTAATGTAATGCTCCTGCTGAGACAACAGAGAATAACACATGAGGGAGAGAATAAGAGAGACAGAGACAGAGAGGCAGAGACAGAGCCAGAGGGAGAGACAGAGAGTGGGAGGGAGGGAAGAGCGTAAATTGGAAAGAAAAAACAAGAGGAAGAGCAAGGAAAGGAGGGAGAAAGGAAGGAGGAGAAGAGGAGAAGCTTCCAAGAGTGGAGGAGTGGGGGAGGGGAAGGAGGAGGAAGAGAAGGAGGCGGGGCTTTCCAAAAGTAAGAGAAGACAAAACAAAAAACAGAAACACAAATCAGGAAGGAAAGGGAGAGAAAGATTACAAGGGTGGACAAGGGAAGGGAGAACGGGCAGAAATAGGAAGAAAAAGTGAAAGTGAAGGAAGAGAGAACAGAGGAGAGGACAGAGAAGGCAAAGCTGGAGGGAAGACGAGGACGATCAACAGGAAGAAACAACAAAACCAAAACCAAATACAAATTGCAAGGTTGCGTTTTGCAGGGAGAGCTCAAGGCTTCTTTCCAACTGCACGCATACAATATTGAAGTGAGTTTATCCGTGGCGTGCATAATCTCCAGCCCATTTTCTTCCGCGTGCCCTCATTTTTCCCACTATAAAGAACTCCATAGGTGTGCCGTGAAATAAAGGCTAACTCCTCCATAGGATGCAAACATGCTGGCTTTGGCACAACCAAAGAAGCCTGCAGACAAAGTCCTGAATAAAAAGTGTTCTGTTTTGTTGGTTGGGTTGCTCTTATCAAGAAGTTGTTGCAAGAGAAGGAAAAGCAATACTTACTTTAGAAAGCTCTTTCTCGAACTTCTGGGAGAGAACGTGAGCTGTGAATTCCAAGCGTTCCACTCTCTGCACGGGAAAGGTCGTGTCTGGGAGGGTCACGGAGCAGTGGCAGGTCCCGTGGTCATCCTCGAAGCCAGTGAAATTGGAAAGCGACTGTAAATAAAAATAAGTTCAACATCAGTACGAAGCTGGGAAGTGAGCTTTTGGGTAACTGGAGTGCCAGAAATTGGCCTGTCAAAAGAGGGCTCAGGGGCGCCTGGGTGGCTCAGTCGGTTAAGCGGCCGACTTTGACTCAGGTCATGATCTCGCGGTCCGTGAGTTCGAGCCCCGCGTCAGGCTCTGTGCTGACAGCTCAGACCCTGGAGCTTGTTTCATATTCTGTGTCTCCCTCTCTCTGACCCTACCCCGTTCATGCTCTGTCTCTCTCTGTCTCAAAAATAAATAAACATTAAAAAAAAATTAAAAAAATAAAAAAAAAGAGGGCTCAGAGGCAAGCAAGTAGAGTCCAATACATAAATGAATAGCATTAAAGACACGAGCTAAGAGCTCATGTTTCTCAGGCAGTGATTACACTCCGTGTGTAGCCACATCTCCACCAGTCAGGCTAAACCAGGGTCAGGCACCTACACCTAAAGGAAGATTCTCCTTTCTTGAGTAGGTTTCAAGGTAATTGTTACTATTCCTAAGTAAGCTGAGGGAAAGAAGGAGGTGATGAGCATCCTGAATTCCAATTCTCCCACTTTCTGGACGTGAACCCTCTATGAGTCTCAATTTCCTCATCTGCCAAACAGAGATAACCCACTTCACAGGGTTGTCCCCATGAGTCACCAAGTAATGTAAACCAAGTCCCTGGCACGCCGTAGGCGATCAGTAAATGTCACTTTCCCTTTCCTTCCACGTACTCATTCTCTCTTCCTCACCGTTACCTCCAATCGCAACCCAATGCCTTCCAAGGGAAAGAGAAAAACCTCACGCATAGGAGTTACGGGGAAAATATACAATGCAAATTCACATCCTCTCTCCACCTGCAAAATTGCATAATTAACATTCTTTAGAGTGGGGAAAAAAACAGCCATGTTTAAAAGACTGAACAATGTAGGAGTCTGAAGTTTTTGTGCAAAAAAAATGTTTAAGTTTTCCAGCTTACCACTTGCAGAAAAGTCATTTTAAAATATTTGATGTTTCTTTAAGATATTCAGGCTCACACTTTGGTGCCGCTGCATATTTTAAAATGACAGGTTTGAAAGATCCTGTTTTTCTTTTGTCCCCCTCGAACTTCCCCAAGGGGATCCCAGCACAATTAACATTTTTTTTTTTTATTACAACTATTGCCTTCCAGAGTAACTCTTGGCAGTGGACTGGCTGTGCTTGACAATGATCTCATCTGATGGCTAGCCCAAAGCTCACCTGTGGAACATTAGGCCGAAGTGTCTCTCCGAAATGACCGAGGGGAGAACACTGGTTTGCAGAATTTGAAGAGATGCAGGCCACACCTCTCAAAGTTTAGGAGGTCAGCTGGCTGCAGCGGAGGTGGTGCGCTCTGTGCACTTAGTATCTACCAGCCTCCATGATCCCCGAACAAGCCGGACCTAGATGCTTCTACAGTCAAGATGTGTTCTGTCAGTGACCTCTGGACCAATTAATTCAGGCTTTTGCAACTAAATTGCTTGTCAATTTAACCTAATCTTCTTTAAGATAAGCAAACACACACACACGCACGCATGCACATATATATATATATATATATATATATATATATATGCATATCAGGTAAATTCTTGACACTGGCCTCAATTTTCTTTGCCAATCACATCCCACACCTGCAGGAATTGGGGAGTAAGGAGGAGAGACAAGCAGGTTTATGCTAAACATTGGGGCTGGGAGGGGATTAAGGTAAGGGTCTTTGCCAGGGATGAAGAAGGACTGGACAAGCTACACCAGAATGGAACCCGCTTTATCACTCCCACTGAAGATAGAAAGCATCTGGCTCAAGCACGCCAAGTCTTTTGCAGGAGGACCAATGTATCATGGACTTTTGAAAAAAAAAAAAAAAAAAGCTTATTATTACAACTGTCTACCCCCCAAAATGTCTCGCACTGCATTTTGACAAGGGGAGGTTAATTAGCTGCACAGGACAGGGTTGAACCAGGCTTAGACTCCTCTGGAAAGCTCTGTCAAATCAGAAAATAGTGGAGATCATCAAGCAGTCTCTAGACAATCAACTCGCTAACAACTTTTAGTCCTGAAGTTCACCTGAAAGGCAGGCAAATAATTATGAGCCCTGCTGACAGCCATTCCACTGTCTTCTATTGAATGTCTCTGTCCCAGCACTGTGGACTCCCTAGCTGCCGTTCTGCTTATCATCAGCCCCGCGTGCTCAGCTGACATCAAAATGGTCCATAAGTTTGATCAGTGTCTCCCATTAGAGATATTTCTGCTCCTCACATTCAAAGACAATGAAGCTAATGGTGATGGGTCTCACTCCGTCTGCAGTGACTGCTTAAACTCGGTGTGAGTGTAGCATGAGGAATGGGAGACCCAGGCGTGTGCTTGTCCCCTGGCCTCTGAGAGGGTATGCAGTCCCCCTGTGGAGGACAAATAGGACCCTCTGTACCTTACAAGACACGCCGCACTGATGGGTTCTCACTCAGCGTGTGTTCAATTCACATTTATTGGTGTCTACAACTTGCCAGCCTTTGGTGTCAGGGAGACAAATAAGACCCAATTCCCGCCCAGTGAATCAGCCCCATTGTCATTAGGGAGCCTTAGTGTCCTTTTTTCCGACAAGCCCAAACCCCTTAGCCTGATGACAGAAGAACATGACTCCTGGTTCCGACTCTGCCAGTTACCGTGTGCACAAAGCATGGAGCCTTTTCTTGTCTGTGAAATGAGGACACTGCAAGCGGCCCCTTCTTTGGAGGGGGACATCTGAGGCATGTGAAGCGCTCTCAGCGCGAGAGCTGAAGGTGTGACTCACATTTGTGACTTAAGATTGCAATTGGCTCTAATTAGCAGCCAAGCCTAAGTGCCTGTAAAGATTCAAGGCATAAAATAATGGTACTCAACATTTTCAAAGTACAGAAAATGATACGTTTGGAACTTGCTCAATGACAGTTATAAAGGGGTTTTCCACCACTTTCCAAAGAGCTCATCAAGCTGACAGGCAGCCCTAGAAAATTGGGTTTATAGTAGAAGTGACACCTTGTCTGCCATAAAAAAAGAAGTTGGGGTAGTGATACTGACTCACCAGAGGGAGATAAGCGAACTGGGAAGGAAATTAAAACCTCTAAGCACAATTTAACTACCATTCCTTATCTACTTTTAAATATTTGTCTTTTTGCCAAACAACAGGCATATTGGAGTTCTCCGTTTCTTGACCTATATTTTATTTTCTGTCATTTTAGCTCATCTTACCCAAATGCTGCTTTCTGATTGGTGATGACATTAGTGTTAACCAGTTCTAATTTTCCCCAGAAATTATTTAGTATCATGGAATAAAATGATGCATCTGATTTCTGGCTGCAAAGAATGTTCACGCATAGTCACGATTCCCAAACCACGTTTCTCCTAAAAATTAGCAACTTGCATCTATACTCCCCTCAAACAGAGAAAGCTGCCTAGACAGAGATGCTGAAGAGGATAGGCAGACTAAGTTTGAGTTCTATCATTTGCTGGCTTAGTGACTTTAAGCCAACGACGGCACCTCTCTAAGCCTCAGTTTCCACATCTCTAAAATGGGACCATTAATTTTACCTGTCTCTGAGGGTTAAATAAGATAATATATATTATGTACTTAACCAAGTCCTGGCATTTATCAGGTGCTCAACAAACATTGTTGCGGCAGTTTCTATGTGAGCCTTCATCCGAACCATTTGTTGATCAACAAATTTTCATCTACACGGTTCTGATGTCAAAATGGAAACAATAAAAAAGCCTTTTCCTCTCCTTATCCCAATGGCCCTCCCATTCAGACATGATCACGTGAGCAGCGACCTGACTTGTGAATAAAGATCATAGAAGTGCAGAGGGGCAGGCTTTGGGGAAATTAAGACTCCTCCACCCCAAGGCAAGCCTGGGTTTTCCAGAGCAGGGCTCCTACAGAAAGGCCCAGAGCAGACGCAGGCAGAGTTGGAAGAAGGAAATGCTTCCTGCCCCCTAATGTCTCATCCCTTGGTGCCTCTTCCCCTCTCCTCGAAGGAGATACAAAGAGGACTCATCTCCCAAAGAACTAGGCTCGGGGTACGGTCTAGGGATACAGCCTAGCTGGGACAGTCCCTTCCTAGCACAGGCTTTGGTTTTGTTGTTGTTGCTGATTTTGTTTGGCCTGTTTATTGCTACTGCTGTTGTTGTTTTCGGAAATGGCTCTTATGATTCCCTATAAGGAAAATGGAAGACAGTTAATACTCTTCTGGGGACATATCTGTGTGTAAGAGCACTTTCCTAAAGACCTCCCCTGCTTCGGCCATCCATCTCCTTTACAAACTAGGCTCAAAGAAATCCTCAGGGCTCCAGCTGGAGCAAAGAGGCTCTCACTCCCTCAGGGCGATTCTTCATCATCCTCAGGGTTCCCAATGGGCAGCAAACCAGACCGACTTTTCTGGAGCTACTCCTGGCAGGGCCCCTTCCCTAAGAGTTCTCATCTGGAACAGGATCCGGACATCTCTATGTTTGGTGTACCCCTCCCACCCCTGCCCACCCCCAACTCCAAGCGTAGCCAGGTTTGAGAACCTCTTTAAACCTTCAGTTCTTTCCCTAAAGCTCCCGGCAGAAGAACCAAGATGTCGTCTCTCTTGCTAACAATTTAATTATTTTACCCAGGTTTTAATTCATTTCCAGGGCGCCTACAGTTAACAAAGGGAGTCGTAAATCTTTTAGAGTGCTCAGGTCTAGCCATCCATGAAATTATATTCAGGTCCCCAAAAAGTGAGAGGAAGGGAATTAACACAGCTCTCAGGCCGTGGGGCCTTCTCACCTGAGACTCGGAGCCAGGGCTGGGAGTGAAGCTGTCATTGGAGCTGGGGCCAGAGATGAAGTTGGAGCCGAACACAGAGTCAAGGAAAGAGCTGGAACTGGGGCCAGGGACCAGGGGCTCCAAATTCCCTGTGGTCTGGCCAAGGAGGAACAGAAGGGCCAGGGGGCAGAGGAGGCCTGTCCTCATTTTGTGCTCTTAGCTGGAGCCACTGGTTTCTACACAGAGCCCAGGGGCTTCTTATAGTGCCCAGTGGGGATTTCCCCACGTCCAGTTTGTAGGAAAAGAGGAAGCTGCCAGGGAGCATGTGACCACCCCAGGAGGGTCAGGACACCCAGGAACCTGAGTCACCTTCACACCTTGTTGCTGAGTCCCACTCTGCCAGCTGCCCTTAGATCTAGATATCTCCTGCCAAATATTAACTCAAATGTACATTTTCAAGCCCAATATCTGGTTTCCAACTTGATACTTCCTTGAAACAGATAGGTTCAAGGTAATCTTTATGGCTGAAACAGAACTTGGAGATCCCAGGAGTGAACAAGCCTCAGCCCTTTGCCCAGAAGCCACACCTAGTGGTTCCCCCCTACCCCATCCCTGCCCCCACCTCCCATTTTACTGAATGATGCTTTTCAGAGGAAAGTTAGGGAACTTGGTTTAGAGACTGCGAGTCTCCCTAGGGGGATTCTGTCTTCAGCTGCTACTGCCCAGGTTGTCTCTGACCTCTCTCTTGGAGTCTGCTTCGGGACAATGTTCTCCAACAACCTCAGCCAGAGCGAGATATCAGCAGTGTTTTCGCCATGGATACTCATGAGGGGTTCTGCATTGCTGAGCACTTTCCACTATGAGCTTGATGAAGGAAAGAATCCAAACAGGAGGCTGCCCCAGATCCAGTCAGGGAGGTCCATGTTGAACAGTTTCCCTCTCCAGAAGATTCTGTCTGATCTCCATTGTTCCAGACCATCTTGTGAACTGGTCAAGGCATATTTGTCATGAAACTGAGAAATAGGGATGCATCTTCAGGCTCCATTTGGAAAATCTGCCTTCCTCCCTGTAGAGTAAAAATGTGTTAGCCTGAATATTAAAAACCAGCTTTCTCACTCATTAGTTAGTGGCCTTAGGCAAATCACTTAGCCCCTCTAGTGTTGTAACAATTCCTAAATTGTTAGAATTAAATGAAATATTATATGAGAAGTTGCTTATAAGCTTTGAAGCACTATACAAATGTCAGATTTTATGCTTTTTGGTTTTATTTTTAATTTCCTAAAGCCTGGCCCAATATGTAAGATTGTTGGGTTCACAGCAGGGAAAGAAGGCCGCTGCCCCACTCCATCACCCACCCTACCATAGGAATGCTTTGGAAAGCCTGATCTGAAGGGTTCCTTTACCTCATGTGCTGCATAAGGTCTCAGATGTTAATGTGAAAAACAGAGCCTCAAACCCTTGGTACACTATTCAGATTCTCATGGGAGGGCACAAGCAAAAAAAAACTATGAATGAATGAATGAGGGAAGGAGGATAGGGAGGGAAAGGGAAAAGAAGTCTCTCTCTCTCTCTCTCTCTCTCTCTCTCTCTGTGGTGCACCCAAGGCCCATGCGGCTGCATCCCTGGCTCAGTGCCCCACACTGCCCCTTGACTTGGGGGGTTGAGTGGATGCCCCACCTAGATCAGTCTCCCCAGCTTTAGAATCCAGCCAGCCAGGCTGTCATTGCTGCCTCCCCATTGAAATACACCACTTGAGCCACACAGGAGGACGTTGCAAGCCAAGTTTATACCCATATAAGATGTAGATGTGTGGATGTGGTGATCAGAGGCAGTTAGTGGAGACCCAGAAAGTGCAGGAGCATTTTTCCAGAAGCTTTCTGGACACAACTTCTGCCTACACTATCTAATCTGTGGTGGAGACTGAGGTCAGGGACAGGTAATCCATGGCCAGGGTAAGAGGAGTATTTTGAAGCCCCCACCTCTCATATTCTACCCTGTGTAGAGTTGTCAGATTTAACTAAGATATAGGGCACCCAGTCCCATGTGAATTTCAGATAATGAATCATTTTTTAATTCAAGTATGTCCCACGCAATATTTGAGACACTCTTATACTAAAATAATTGTACGTTGTTTATTTAACATTCAAATCGAACTGGATGCCCCGTATTTTCTCTGGAATCCTACCATTGAAGTCTGCTTGCACCACCTGGACAGAGCCTCCTGGGGCAGGCTGTGAGCCGCAAAGTTCACTGTTCCCTATGGGAAGCAATTCAGCCTTGGCCTCTTTGGCTGAAGTTTCTAGCTATTAGATGCCCAAACCAAAACAGGAGAAGCACAGGGCATCTGTGAGAATGGAAAATTGGTACACCGAATGCATTATCCTGAGACTGAACGCTATGAATATGGATATAAGGAGGAGAGCTTGCCTCTCCCTTCCATCACATTTCCCCTCTTCCTCCAGATTCCCACCAAAGCAAAGGGCAAAATCTCTTCTCATTTGCCAGCTTCTGTCTGTGGCTCTAATGAGTTTTCCTTGTCCCTTTTACCAAGGAGCATGTCGGTGCCCTTGTCAGGGGACAGAAAACAAAAAAAAAACTCATTAACGATAGTAGTCCGTAGTCATGACTACCTTCAGGGGCTTCTACAACCAATGCTTTAGGAGACCCCTTTCCAGGGGGGTTGTGTTCTTGCAGAAATGAGGCAGCAGTTCTCCCAAACACAATTGTGCCCCGCCAGAACAGAACCCCCACCCCCACCCCCCACACTGTGCTCATGAGCTGCTCTGTTCCTGTGTGCCTCTAGTTTTCAGAATAAAACTTGAATCTATTTGGTAGCCTCAAAGGCACAAAAGAGCTGGCGATGCCTCAATAATGAGATTATTAATAATAATAGTTTGATCAGGCCCTCTGCAAATATCCTTGTCCTGAGAAACAATAAGCCTCCTGGTTATATGACAGCCTCCAAGACAGGAGAAAATTATCAGCACCACAAAGCAAACAGTGTATTATTTATAAAAATGTGTTCTGACACTGGGTTTCTCTAGAGTAAGAGGTCGCTGAAATTCACTTGAGTAACACAGCATTCCTCACTGACAGCTTGAGGTAAAGTTACTGTAGGCACTTCATCGGGGAAACCCCCAAAGGTGTACTTCTTGGACAGTTGCAACACGCAGGAAAGATGTCCATATAAACATAGTGTTAATTTAATTCCCTTGCCATTAAAAACCAATGCCAAACATAACTGTGGTTCTTCCAGAAGAGAGTGTCTTTAGGGTACCTGTCTATGAAAAGACAAGAGAAGTCATGTTTAGTCTACAAACTAACTACAGAGATTGCGTTGGGGGTGACCACTCTCATGTCTGTTGACTCTGTCCCCAGCAACCCTCAAATCTCTATTAGCAATGCCCATCATCATGTGTAAAAATAATAATCATCCAACACCACTCATGCACCCTGGAGAGAAGGTTAACAATGTGTATTAGGCCCCACTCTGTGCAAAGTATCAGGCCCTAGGAAGAGTTAGCAAGTAAGAGAACAGCATAATTTTTGCTAATGACAGTGTCTAATCCTTCTGGGGAGGCAGAGCCACTTCAAAGAATATTCTAGAAATAATAACAACAAATTGAACACAAAAGGAATTGCATCAACACTGAGGAATGACTGGATAGCCTATGGTGATCCAATCCAGGTGGTGATGGGGAAAATCTCACCAGATGGTGGAGCTTCTTAGGATGAAGAGGAAGTCCTTGTTGGTTTTGAGCCTGAAAACCTGACCAGTGCTTGGCACTTGGTGTTCAATATTTGCTCACTGGAAAAACGTGTTTAATAAATGAATGAATGAATGAATGAATGGGGTGATTTAATAATAATTGTGAAGGAGATTCTTAAATTACTATTAGAGAAAAATATGAATTTTTTCAATTACTAGTAGGGAAAAGGGAAATTACATGAGTGAAAGAACTCAGGCAACCTGAATTCTCTCCAGGGTCATGATTATGCCCATGCCTCTGCAATCTCAAATTGCCAATCCTGGTGACTCCTCCTTAGATCAGAATTCCTAAGGCTGTTCCTCAGCCTCACCCAAAACCCCAAATCAACATTCCAATTCCATAAGCATATCCTATCTCAGGAACTACCTAGCTTTGGCTATCCCATAATGGTTTAGAAGATTCAAATTACCAAATTTTCAACCAAAAACTTATGTATTCAGTCTGCAGGAAAATCATCAACATTGACAAAATGCAGAACCAAGCTAGTAAAAAAAGCATAACTTGGGGCTCCTGGGCGGCTCAGTTGGCTGAGCCACTGACTCTTGGTTTTGGCTCAGGTCATGATGTCACAGTTCGCAAGATGGAGCCCTGCGTCTGGCTTTGTGCTGACAAGCGCAGAGCCTGCTTGGGATTCTTTCTCTCAAAATAAATAAACAGTAAAAAATAAAAAATAAATAAATAAATAAATTTAAACGCGTGACTAACACAAGCAGTGCAAAGTTCTCTGCAGATGCTGAAAAACACCACCAACAAAAACGCGTTGGAAAGTAACATATAGTGTACTAACTTTTTAGGAAGGAGAAAAGCTTTACACTTTTTACGGAGGAAGTTTGGACTAATGAGCCGTAAGTACGCTCAGAGTATTTCCCTCAGGGATGCTGGTGTGGAGTCAGGAAACACCCACTACCACCAGGGTGGACAGCCTCAGGCTTATCTCTGGAGCCCACAAGAGAGTCTCTGCCCAGAGACCTAAGACCATGGACTGCTCCCTAAATTCCTCTTGCCTTCTCCTGACCACTGCATTGAGGCACCCCCTCACTGCATCCTTATAGCAACACCTGAGTTTGCTATTGGCCATTGTAAGTCACCTGTTAGCCCTCAAAGGCCAGGTGAGTTGGTTTTCCCAGCCAGAAGTGAAGGTACTTTCTCCTCTCGCTCATCTCCCCCTTCACAGAAGCTTGCCTCGTATCCAGATCACCTGAGTTATGAAGTCAGGCTTCTCCACTAGCATATAGTTAGTTGTATGTGTCTAGCTTCATACATCTCTCACCGTGAGAAAGAGTCAAACTCTTTCTGCATCCAAGAACGTTTGTCGCCTGGAAATTCTGTACGTGACCACTGCAACCACGACAGCATTTTCAGATTTAGTCATGTCTTTTATTTTTTGTTGTTGTTTCCATCACTTGCCCGGACCCGAATCTTCTCAAATCCTGCAAA